CAAATACAAAGCACATCAATAAGTTATTGTAATTTATTTTAATCAAGTAAATAAATGAGTTATGGCTATCATAGAAATTCAATTTCTATCATGATATTAAATATCTATCGACACGTTGACATTTTCATGTATCTATATAGTTCGACATTAGATATAAGAAATAAATTTACAATTTCATCGTATTACAAAAAATTCAACAAAATATAAAAATATCAACAAAATGTCACTAATATATACATAATATTTATATTAATTATTTTTAATTAATATAGAAATAGAAAAATGTTTATCGGTTAATTTAAATATTTTTTACGGTTTTTTTATTTCTCTAACTTTTATAGAAATATATATTGACATTGGTATTTTATTGATATTTTTATCGATATTTCCATGAAATTGAGACTTCGATATTTTCATCGAAATCGATATTTAAAATCTTTATCCCGATCACCATATTTATTATGCTAAAAAAATAAATAAAATCAATATACTTCAATAAGCTAATAATAATAATAATAATAATAATAATAATAATAATAACAATAACAATAAATTTATTATATCTCAAATCATTTAGGGAATAATGATGCTTAAAGAAAAATACTTTATTTATAATTTAATTTGTTTAATAATTCAATATTTATCATATCATTATAAAAAATGTTTCAAATTATTCTCTAACTATTCTTATTGTAATTCACAGACTTTGTTTAAAAGCCTCATTTTAGTTTGTGCTCTAAATTATTTCTAAATTAGTTCATCGAAATTTGAGATACACCACTCTATTTTACAAAATATTTGAAGTAAAATATCCTTGATTTTTTTTTCTTTTTTTGAGTTCAATGGTAGGTTGTATTAGGTTTTGGCAAAATATTATAATTAAAGTTTGCCACATGTCGGAAAGATATAAGGAGGAGAGAGTGTGCGCCAAGTACTAGAAGTAGTCTCACATCGGAAACGTACAAGGAGATGGTGTATTCCAATTTCTATGAAAGGAGCATACATTAAGTTCGATATACCAACTCTAGTTAACTGAGCGATATTTGCTTTGAAAGAGTGCTTTGTGTAATTAGGATCGGGGAAAGAAATCTGTGTGATTGTAATAATTTTTCATATAGTGGATTTTTCTTTGTGGTTTTTTCTCCAGTTTGGAGTTTTTCCATGTTAATTCTTATATTTCTCTATTTAAATTTCTCAGTTATTTTTTTTTATCAGAAGTATGATATTTTTTCCCAGGTTGGATATTAAACTCAAAATTAAGATGGATAAAAAGTTTAGTGGATAATCAATAAAAAAAAATAATAATAAATAATTATATTTTTGTTAGTACATATACTAACGAGGATTTGAACTTATAATCTTTTGATCTAAGTGCGCTGAGTTATTCTTTTTTTATTATATAAAATATATAAAATTATATCCTAATATTTAAAAGTGATATTAAGTCTTTCTCCAAATTATTATGAGATTTGGAAGAAGCTATTTAATCTGCTCAATTAGTTGGTTTTGAAATCATTAGTTGTATGTGTGAACTTTTGCCAATTAGAATCCGAACTTATAGCCCAAAAAAAAAAAAATTATAAAATTAATTTTGACTCTTGGAATTAAATTGACAGCCCCTTATAGGGTTTGATGTAACATAAAATTGTAATTATCTTTTTGATCCAGC